ATAGAAAACCCACTACAATGCTGGCCCTGAGAGAAGAAATTGAAAATGCATGAGCACCAATTTCAATGACTAATGCTTGGTTACCCAAGCAGCAGTTCGTTGTACTAATAAATGTCTGGAAGCTCATGGTCACCACTTTGACACTTCTTGTAATAGTAGAGGCCAAAGGTAATGTATTAATCTCACGATGTCTCAGTAAATTTAATATTAAAATATTTATACAAAAAGACTTTATTAACAAATCCTCAGTAGCATGGGAACTAGCATAAAGAATCAACAACTGGGATCTCATCTTATTAAAAAGCTTCTGCACTGCAAGAGAAACCACCAGCAGAGCTAAGAGACAACCTAAAATGTGGGAAAAAAATTTTTACCAGCTGTTCCTCGAAGGTCTACTATCTAGAATATATAAAGAACTAAAAAAAACCCAGACCCCCCCAAGTATAAAGACACAATTCATAAGTATCTGAAATGAACAGACATTTCTCAAACAAGTAACAGCAGCAAATAAATATATGAAAAAATGTTCAACATCACTGGTCATTCGAGAGATGCAAGTGAAAATAACACTGAGATTCCACCTCATCCCAGAAAGAATGGCTGCTATCAAAAAATCAAAAACAATGCCAGCTGGGTTGTGGGGAGAAAGGAGCCCTTCTTCCTTGTTGGTGGGTGTGCAGACTGATACAACCACTCTGAAAATCAATATGGAGATACCTCAACTAGGATTAGAGGTCCCATTTGACCCAGCCCTCCCTCTGCTGGGTATCTTTCCAAAAGAACTCAAAGAATCATACTACAGTGATATATGCTCACCCATGTTTATAGCGACATGGTTAGTAATAGCTAAAACTTAGAAACAGCCCAAGTGCCCATCAACTGGAGAGTGGATAAAGAAGATGTGGTTTTTCTATAAAATGGAGTGCTACTCAGCCATAAAGAATGAGAAACTAGAGACATGTATAGCTAAGTGGATGCATATTGAGGCCATATTCTTAAGTGAAACAAATGAGACACACATGTGTAAATACCAAAGTTTCTCTGGTGTGAAAACCTAAAGTGTAAATAAGGTTCAAATGGTATAATTGATAATGTGAAATAGGAAGAAAATGGCTAAAGATGAAGGGTAAGTGGGAAGAGTAGGGGAAAGGAAAGAAGGGAAAATAAAAAATATAAGAAAAGGAAAAGACAGAAACAAAGTCTTGGTAAATATGGAAGAGTGGAGGGGGTGAAGGGAGAGCAGGGCTATGCGAAAAGATAAGAACCAAGACCTGTCATGTAAAGGTACAAGATCCCAATGATGAATACAACTGTACTGTATACTTAAAAAGTACTGATAAACTTAATGAAAAAAGAAGAAGAAATAGAGCAACACAGGAGCCTGCATGCAACAGCATGGTGCTGCCTTCATACACAGGGTGGCGGACTCCAGTTTGCCACAGTCCGCACCATCCCATATTGTTCCGATCACTGAAGCATAAGGACCAGTGCCATTTCTCATCATAACTGTGGTTCATTTCACTCATTTATATCGCTGCCTGGATGCTGTGGTACTTGAATTGATGGGCTCATTTAGCAGATCCTTTTGATGTAGCTTGGGCCCTGTGAATGACTGTCCCTTGTAGTGGGAAAGAGGAGGCTAAATTGTTCTAGATAATGAGAATGCAAAGAAGACCAAGGGGGCTCTTACAGAAAAGATATCTCAACTTCAGCTCTACTGACATTCGGGACCAGATCATGCTTTGTTATGAGTGACTGTCCTGTGCATTATGGGACGTTAGCAACACCCTGGCCTTTGCCTATAGATGCCAGTTGCACTTCTCAGCTGCGACAACCTTATAGTCTCCAAACACTGCCAAATGTCCCCTGCACAGAATAGGCAGAATTGCACCCAGTTAAGTACTACTGACCTAGAGCTATAATAGAGACAGGAAGGGTAGAAGAGATCTGCTCCAGGGGTTAGGACACTGGGTTAGCAATGCTGGCAGGACCCCCAGTGTTCCCACCTCCCCACCTTCCCTCATCCAATAGATCTAAAAAATAGGGAAAGGAGGAACACCAGGGGGTGGGGGCTGTGCAGCATGGAACTGTAAAGAGACGAAGAGCCCAGCAGGATCACAAACCCCAAAGGGCATGTTTGACACAAAATGTAAGGTGTGCAGTGTCTCCTGCGGCTGTGCATTGTGTGTGCTATAACCTGGACATAAACTATGTGAAAACTCTACTCTCCCTAAATATTCTATAAATTCTGCCTCCTTTCCATTTCACTACACACACACACACACACACACACACACACACACACACACACACACACACCCCTTGAGTAAATAATATATCTTGGAGTAAATTAGATGGTCAATCTATCAAACTAATTCCTAGGGAACATACTAGAGTCAGAAGTGACAAGGATAAAATCATCAGTCCTTCCACCATGACCTCTGTCTTTTAGAAGCTCCAAGAATACAGGAATGCAGGCTCCTACCACACCAGGATTGAGGTTCAAGTCAATTTCTTTTGAATTTCAAAGAACCTACATCACAAGTTTCTGTATCTGGTATCTGTATTTAATTCAGGTCTCCTGCCTTTATTCCATGCCCCAATCATTGTGTTTCCTCCCTTTGGCTTTCCTTCAGTCTTGTAGTTTTGATTAAGTACAATAAATGACTGGAGGCATGTGCTTTGTTCTGTAGACCTGTACCAAGGAGGGAAGTATTGTACCCTACCCCAGGTATAAGAACAAGGGGTGCATTCTCCATACAAAATTGTAAAACAATTTACAAAACAATAAAATTCAGCTTTTTTGAATCACCATGCACTAGTACTTCTAAACCATGTCTATGACAAAATATTCTTCTTTCCCCCAAATATTTTGTTGGTCTATGTTCTAAACAATTATTGTGGCTATGTTTTAAATATGTATAAATTATTTATGCCTTCCACTGATGCTGTTACTCTCATAGGTGAATCTTGACATTTTTACTTAGTTTCTGTGCCAATGTCTTCTGCCCAATGTGCTAGGAGGCTCTCAGGGCAAATAAAGGAAGGCATATCTTCCTTCCAGGGTTACAGTCTAATGCTTAAAAATAAAGGGCCTTTGCATTCTGTGTTGGTACGAAAAATGCAATGAGGGAAACGCCACTCAGATGCCTGCAAATACTCTTATTCCTGCTGCCAGAACACCGCATATATAAAATCAATATGGCAAGAGTCTAATGTTGGACTTTGCCATGGAGGTGCATTTTCCCTTGCCATGGAGCATTTTCCCCTGCAGACTTTGGGATTTGTCAGAATTCTAAGGACTCTTGTGTATTTCAGCCTCATTCCCAAACTCTTGCTTCTGTAGACAAAAAGAGAGCCCTGCATGTCTCAATCATCTCAGAGGGCCCAATCTCTCCCCCTAAAGTAGTTGAGGATAGAAAAAGTCTCACATCTTTCCACAGGACTCCTGCCTACAAAGGTTTAGTCTCTTGTATTCTGGGCTTTGGTCCTTTGCCCAAACACACACCAGAGTATGTATAACAAATCAAACTAACAGGTTTGGTCCATGTTAGAAACACTAGTTTATGATCTTCTAGTGAAACACTTATTTTCTAGGAAGTAAAAAAAAAAAAATTGAACCGTTTGAATACTAGTGATGTAATCAACTCCATGCATTTGTTCTTAAAATCTTGAAACAAACCTTCATCTCGAGGCAGTTAATACAGTCTCGTGCAGAGCCTTCCCACTGGCCTTATGCTGAAGAACCTTTACCACCTCCTCCACTCTACATCCAACGCCCATCCACCCTTTGCATTTCCCAGAATACACCATGCTCTGACCCTACCCTGCCTTGGCATACACAGCTCCCTCTGCCTGGAACACCCTATTCTTCCTAGTTAATTTTTATCCATCCTTTAAGATTCTTCTAAAAAGCCTTCCTGGGCTCTCACTTTTTCAGTTAGATGCCATTCCTATGCATTCTCACAGCAACTTGCTTGGTGTCTTCTGGCAGATACTGTGCTCGTCAAACCTTTTTCTTCATAAACTCATAGCTAGACTACATTTCCCAGTTTCCCTTATGGTTAACTGATGTCAGATGGCTGAGTTCTAGAAAATGAAGTATGTAGAGAAGTGATGTGTCATTTCTGTGAAGAGTAATCTTATCTTCAGTCTTTTTTCTCCACCCGCTAGTTAAAAGGAGAAAACCCCTTATCTTTACAGGATTATGAAGCTATACATGGAAGGAAGGAGTCTTAGTCCCTAAATAACCACAAGGAAAATGGCACCACTATGAACATCAACCCTGGATAGTGAGGTGAAAGAGATTCACTGAAGTCTTGGGTTTGTTTGTACAGCATTTGCCTACCCTAAAACATCACAGCACCTATCTCACTCTGCACTGTACCTCATCTGTAAGTCTCTGTCCTATGGAACTGTAAGCTTCTTGAGGGAAGGAGCTAACATACCACTTGGTTAGGGGCACAAAAAAATATATATGGAGGCAAAAATCAGGGGATGGAACAAACTCATGAATGGACATTGTGACACAGCAGAAAATCCACCCAATAGGAGACTGATGCCTCCTAAAATTACTCAAATTTTAAAGGTCAGAAAATGGGTTGCAAGATTACTTGGTCAGAATTTTGAGCCAATTCTTTCTGCTCGTCTGTATCATTCCCACTCCAGCTAAAGATACCATGATGGAAACATTCTTGAATAAAAAGGATGCTGAAAAGATAAAGCAAGTAACATTTCACTGCATTAAGCCAAGTTTTCAATTCAATGGACCTTCCAAAGGTACTTCAAGTTTAGCCATGAGATCTCTCATTACCAAGTGTTTACCATGAGTGGATATTTAATAACCTGTCTCAGATCACCAGGAGGTAAAAATAACCAGCTCTTAGATTTTTATCTTATTGGGAAGACTTCCAACTGCTCTTCATGTCACCCACATTAAGTCCACGTGAGACCATATGTAAACCACAGAATACCGACAAGAAGACACCACAAAAGCCACTTAGTTATCTTACATTTATTTTTAACATAGCACCCCAGTTTCACATCATGTACATTGTCCGGAGTTTGAGATCCTTAATTTACTATGTTCTTCACAGATTTTTCAACAAATGTGAAAAAGAGGCAGTAAAGTTAGCTTGAGTCTACAAGTCACAATGCAAATATAGGACACTCTCAAGGATTTGTTTATGTTTAAGGTCAATATACCTAATGCTCCTAATGCTTAGCAAACAAATGAGTCTCTGGCTGAGTAAATACTAACACAACTTGCTAGTACAATATCATGAAAAGACAGAAGGCATCAAATATATACTTTGCTGTTACGCTTTTTTACTGTTCAATGTACCTGTAGTGAAAAAATATACATTTTTACTTTCAAGGTTAAAATAGTTCATTATCATCAGTTCATTATCTCTCTTGGCCAATAGCTATGAAGACTAAAATGGCTCTTTTTGCCTCTGGCTCACTTAAATATCTTATTTGTGCTGAAGATAAAAAGGATGGCAGTGCTAAAGAAGAGGGTATACCTGGCTCTCAAGATGTATGCAGTTGAAGCTGTCACACAAGTTGACTTAAAACAAAAATAACACAACTTAGGTGATCCAACCTGCATACAACGAGGTTGTTGAGTTCTGTTTCAGGGCAAAGCACCCTGAAAGAGCTTGTGACCTAGTCCTGTTATTCAGCACAGTGCCGGAGGATGGAACTGGTATCTGAAGTTTTCCTTATCATAGTTAACCAAATTCCAATTTAAGCTCTCTTAAAGTCTGATATCCTCTGGTCTTTAAAGTTGTAAACCTACTTTCTCCAACCTCTACCACCACGAAATTAGCTTGAAGCAAGATAGGAGAATTCATGACATGAAAAATAAGCACTCCCCAATTATTGACAGCAAAGCAAGGCTTCTGTAAGTAGAACAAATCCTGTCAATTTAAACCCTACAGTGCTGCTTGGACAAGGTTCCTTTACCATCATGTGTGTTAGTAAACATAGAAGATGACCCTGCAAGCCTAAAAGCAACTGTATGCTTGGGCTGTCTTGCTCACACTAACACAGCAGCTTCTTCAGATCTTATTTGTAAGACATTCTTCAAAAGTTTGGTTGGAAGGTGGGCAGCAGCCCTTGCTTTTAAGTTTGTCCCTCTGTTGTCTGCTGCTCCCAGGGTTGCTCTTGGGAGTTTCTCATAACTAGATGCACTTCTCCTCAAAAACTAGCAAAGCAAGGTGGCCCACAGAGTAACAGTCATTCCAGTTTGCTCTGAGGGACTGATCTGGCCATACTGGTGGCCTGTGCTTGGCCTGTGCTGAAGGAGAAGCAAGATACGCAAACTGAGCACTCCCAAAACCCGCCTCCTCACTTCTGACTAGGAATATAAACCACATTAAGTCATGATGTAAAAACAACAACAATAAAAAAACACCCATGACTAAATGTAAAAACAACAATAAAAAACCACCCATGACTAAATTCAACTGATCCTTTGAAATCAGTTTTAAAAGAACACACTAGAAACAGTAAACCAGTCAAACAGAGAAACTGAAGCTATTGGTGTTCTGTTTGACAAGAGGGGAAATGACCTCTAAACTGCAATATCATTTTGTTCACATTAATAATGTATAAACCACAACCTAATGAGCCTACTTGTCAATAATATGGGAAGAGCTTCTTGCTATGAGATGTTAAATTCTTGTTTTTATATTTTTAAAATCACATTCCCTTGATGATATCGAGTCAGAAGGTGTGATTCTAGTTTGTGTTGAACAAATGTTGTTAGCTCAAAGGTGTTAATACTGTAATTGAGATCTTTCCAACTACTGCTTAGAAGAAGACATTTGCAAATGTCTATCTTAATTGCAAAAAACATATCTATTCCAAATATAGCCTTATTGACCTTTAATTGCACATCTATCATTACCATGGCTATGAGATCGTTTAAGAAACAAACATTTAGAAACAGACTGTAGAATCACATACAAGGAGAAAAATGTTTTATGATAGTTCAGACATTGGTAGGAAATCAAAGAAAAATCCATGTTTTTGATTACTCTAAAATATGCTGAAATTGAACATTTGCGACCCAAGTAACCAAAGATATATTTAAGAAAACTATAACTTACATATTGAGTTCATTTCAATCACAGTAGTCTATTTTAAAAACAAACTCCCACAAGGAATATGGGAATGGAATCCATTCAAAGCAACAGCTGTCAAAAGTTCTGCCAAGAAATTCAGAATAACTTATTGCATCATGAAAGGTGAGGTGTTCAGAAGAACAAATAGTTCAATAATATTCTTTCTCTTCAGATCTTACTGTTCAAACCAAGAGAAGTTTCTAGATCTAAAGCTTAAAATATGTTTTTATATTTAAAGACTAATTGGTTAAATCAATAAATTTCAACAAGGTAAACAGAAAGAAAACCTTCTAATCTAATTTTAGTGTTGACAGAGGATAGAGGATCCAACTTAGAACCATAAACTCAGGCTGGTAACCTAACTCTATCATTAGCTACCTCTTTCTATAGATTCTTTAGCCAAGAACTGCTGATTCTTACAGCCTTGGTTTCGTCACATACGAACTACAGGAGACAGGCACCAGTCCTGCCCAGCCCCAACATCCTGTCCTTCATTGACAAGAAGATAGGCACGGCTTCCAGCTAAGCTGAATCCTCTCTGTATTAGGCCCAAGCACTTGTCTAATATCTTTAATGTTGTTAGATCCTTCTGCCCTAAATACAGCATACACATCCATTCCAGATGTCTACTACTTGATCTTGCTTCATGTCTTTCAAAGAGGTGGCAAAAGCAATATACCACATACAAGGGTGGTGACGGACCCAATATGCCCACTATTGGCTTCTGCTATGCTTCTGTCTATGTGACCAGAGGGTCCTTATAGGAGGAGAGCAATGAACAAGGTAATTAAATCCCCATGAATGGGGACAATATTAACCTTCCATTTGTAGAATTGTGCTAAAAAGCAAGTCTAATTATGGAGCAGTTTTATTAGAGAGGTGTAATGGTGATTTCAATAATTCAGCCTTACTATAAATCACATTAAAGGCTCATGAAATATTATCAGACATTATAACCCTAAATTAAAAGTACATATTCTAAGAAAACAGAGAAATTGAGGATGAGCACTAGTTAGATAACAACAAGAGTAGTATATCTATGTCTGCATGTATATATACATACAAATATTTAATTCTTTTTTTAAAAACATCCACTTCTAAGCAACTAATAAGCTGTGGACAAAATTAAGTCCACATAAGAAGGCTGGGTGTATGTATTACTGGTGTGTGCTTTAATGCAATGCCTATCTTAAAATACTGCTGTTGGGCTGAGAATGTGGCTCAGTGGTGGAGCGCTTGCCTAGCACGCATGAAGCTCTGGGGTTGATCCCAGCATATATACAAGAAAGACTACAAACTTGGAGGGCTTTGATTGTCCAGTGCAAGTTTTTTCCCTTAATGAAAACCAAGCCAACTAAACAAAATCCCAGCCTCCTTATTTGGCTCTTTTCGTCAATGACTTCATGGGGGAAGACAGAATGTCAGTATTTTTTAAATGCATAGTTTAGACTAACATTCCTTCGTTTATATGTCTGGCTGGTGGATATGAAGTGCTATCTCGAGTGAGTGCATATGTACTGGACGATGACGAGATAAAGTGCATACGCTAGTCCTTCCTGGATGGAATGCACCAAAAGCCAAACATGCCATGAAACATCTGCAATAAGAACACTGATAACATTTGTTGATAAAATTTGTTGCAGTCCCCAAATTTCAACATATAGGAAAAAAGTTACCTAAAAATTTGCAGACTACCCATTCATAATCTTAGGAGGAGTTTTAAACAAATTCCCAACCCTTCCTCACAAGAATAAAAAAGGCAGGCAGAGGGAGGAAAAGGGAAATAGAGAAATAGTTCAAGTTTCATGACTTTCAAAATCAAATTAATTCAAAATACTTAAATATGCATGGAATAGATTCAACAATTTGTTTTTCTCTGGGCAGACATCATCTGTTTGAGCCTTTCTCTGCTGCTGTTAAGCTCCTAAGAAAGTTTGCCAGTAGAATGAGGAAACATTAAATGAATGCCTACTTTTCCTAACAGCTCTCAGCTCTACTGAGTCCAGCAGCTCAATCCTATGTGTTTCAAACCTATCCAAAACCATTTAAAAAAGGACCCTGGGCACACCCCATCCCATTATCCAAAGAATGGGTACATTAGCAAATGCGTAAAAGATAGGATTCCTAGTCTAAATCTCTCGAAGCAATGTTAAAGTTGGCATGTCCTTATGAGTATCAGTGAATCTGCAACCCTGTGGGTTGGTCAATCCCCACTTTCAGCTTGGGGGTTCAGGTGAAGCAGTAGCTACCGAAAGATTACGTGTTACAAAGATTTACGTGCTACTGCCTTCTGCAATGTGAGCTTGTTTTACACAACCTGTACAAGAGTCAGCTGAACTCCTCTGAACTGTATATACACCAATTACTTCTTCTAAAGGGCACACTTCACACAGAACAAAAGTCTTATGTTCAGTGTGAGCACCACTTTCTTTCATTATTTCTTTATACCCAAGCCATTTTCAATCCAGGTTAAGACAAAGGAAAAACACCCACCAGAGATTACTGGATTGTTAGTAACCCTTTCCCTTTCCTCCCCAGTCTGGATGCCTGGGTTCAAATAACAAATGTTTATTAATCCAGCTTTTCATATTTGATGGGTGGTTTCCAAACTCATGCACTTTATAGATATGCTATCCCATGCAGGATAAAAGTAGAGATCTGGCAACTATTTATTTAATTTGATCAGGCAAGGCAGTTAAAGTAAATTGTTTTTGCCCAAAAGTGTACATGAAAGGACTGAGTTATCTGGGTTGATGGCCTAGATTGGCCAAGTTAAATAACTCACTGCCAAAATCTCTACTTCATAGGGTGGAAAGAACCAATAAGTCTTTTGACATTCAACAGAAAATGATAGTCGTGTATTATTTATAGCAAGATATAACATCAAAATGGCACTAAAGAAGCAATTTTTGGCATATAGTGGTGGAGGGCACAGTGCCAGTCTAAATCTGATGCTTTTGCTTTATTTTACCTTTTGTTTTTATTATCATCATGCCAAAGACTATCCAGTTGGAATCCCAATTATTCAAGAAACCAACCTATTGTATGTGACATACATACAAAAATAAAACAAGCATCCTGAATGTACTTGGTTATAAGGTTTTGTACAAACGGTAAATTCTTTAAATAAATAATGCTCTAAATTATTTGCTAGAAGAATGATTTTTGGTAAGGAGCAGCTTCTAATACCTTGTGGAAGTACTTAAGAATGGGAAATAAATTCTGTTGATAATTATAATTTCAAGTGTGATAATCAGTTGAAGTATTTTTTCCCACCACAATAAAATATACAAGTGAACTGCAAGAGAAGAGGTTGTATAGATTATACTCTGCTGCTCACAGCTTTTGACATAGTCAAACATCTGTGACAAGTAGTTTGGCTCAAACATTCAAAAGAAAGATCTTGGCAGACAAGGTCACGCACTGTCACTTGAACCTTGGGGCTCACAACACAGTGACTGGACGAAGTTGTTCCAGTTGGTTTTCCAGTGCAATCCGTTCTTGATGAACCTCCTGAGTTGTACAAAACAGGGAGAAGAAAAACAAAAAAGCAAAGAGTCATTTCCTGGATTCATATCTACTATGGGATATT